GGGAAGCGCCAGCATTGCCCTCTCCATCCCACGTGTTTGTACTAACTCCCAGTGTTAATGGTGCCTGGACAAACCAAGCCTTTGAAACTACTCACCTCTTTGAGGACAAAGTCCTGAATTGTTTCAGCCCCTTAATATAAAGGGGAAAAAATAAGAGAGAGAGAGAAAAACTGACACAGGACTTCGGATGACACAAATTATATTTCTGAACATTGCCAAGAAACAAAATGGGACAAATCCATCTAGTGCTTGTCACTGGAACTGGGTGTCACAGCTCTGAATACAATGGGAATTGTTCAGCTTTGTTTAAACAAAACAAGAATTAAAATAATTAAAAAAACACTCAAAACCCAAACATTTCTCAGGTCATTGTGGTTAAACTCAGAGACTGAATTAACAGAAGGAAAAGAGACTGCCAATACATTGCCAAAGTTGTTGCCATTTGATTCAGTTAAAGAGAAGCAATAAGCCCAGGACTGCATCTGGCAAGTTTCAAGTAGGGACCATCTACACGAAATGCAGACTAGGGACAGGATTAGCAGAATACACTGTAAAAACAGGTGAAGGACTTATAGCCATAAGACACATCAACGTACGAGCTCATACAGACCAGTCTTCACAGCTGCAGCTTCTCCATTTAGTTTCATAAAGTTTCTGAAATGGCCTTCTAGTTCTCAGCCCCCATGTGCCAGCTACAGACCCCAAGCTTCAGGAGGGCTGGTAGCACAACCCAGCTCTGGGCATCACACAGGACCCCTTTCCACCAGGAGTTTACTACTCATAAATGCCTAAACGAGAACACGCAAGCAGAAGTGTCTGCACCGGCGCCAGGTGTGATGGTACCTGTGTAGCAAGGAATAGCTTCCCTTTGGCAGTCCAGAGAAGAAACGTGGTTACTTGTTTTCCTGATACCAGCATTATCACGATGCACTGAGTAGGATTTGCTGATGGATGTGAGTTAGTGCATCTTCTAGCTTTGCACTTGAGGCTGGTGGGAAGTGCCCTATGCTACCATCATCCTTGAAGAGCATGGGAGAGGCTGGGAAGCAGGAGTAGCTGGGGAGCAGGGCCAGATGCTGAGAGACACAGAGGCTACTGCATTAGAAGCACACAGGCCTTGTGTGTGGAAGAGTGGTAGCTCTTCCTAGAAAGGGCCAAGACACCTCTGCATCCTGCAGCAAAGGACATTCATTATTTTGGGGTATGGACCGCACAGCATCCAAAACATCTACAATAGTGGCAGAGAGCATTCAATCTGTCTGGCACAGAGCAGGAAAGGGGAAACTCTGAACTCAGTGTCCTTTGCAGGGGAGAGACACCTGTTATTGTATTGACCACGTGCATCTTGACCACTGACATTTTGTTCTCCCTAAATAAAGAGGTTCTGGACCTCCCTGAAACCACGAGGCAAGGCAGTCAGCGCATCAACCCAAAATGAAAACAATAATGTACCATCCCTTTGTCCTCCCCAAGCAGCTCCTTAGCCTTGGGCCTTTTAGAGGCTGTTGCAAAACTTCACTGAGCTGACATCCTGATTCCAGGCAGAATATGGAGCCCTTACACCTGCTCCAGGTCATAAAAGAGACCTCTTTTGACTCGAGGGTGTTTGCCTTGGCCACGGTCTTTGGACAGTGGGACAGGAAAGGGTTCTGCAACTGAGAACAAGGCTTCAAAGATTGTGGCAAACAGATCACAAAGCGTGACTAGCTCTGAGCACCCTGAACGAAGCCTGCACAATCCCTTTTACTGCATCACCTTCACAGCCAAGAAGAGCAAGGTGGTAAAAGCAGACAGTTGAGGAATGCCCAAAGTAGCAGAGTATGTAGGAGTCCCGCCTGGAACAATGCATTCATCTTTATCCTGGGACCTTTCCCTAATTCTATCTAATAAAGATTGACATTGTTAAGATAGAAAAAAGTGAGAAAAGTAATGCCTTCTTTCTTTCTTATCATTTGGGCAAATGATAATTCCCACTGCACAATGGGATTAGGCTCAAAGTGGAGCCTAGTCATAAATCTATGACCAAACTGAGACCAATAGAGCAAGAATGTCTTTCTAAGCTACAAAACCAGTCAATGGCATGGGATGAGAGATGCTTTTATTGTTCACCCAGTAAAACAACCAAGTGGAAGATTATTAGATGAGAAAACGGCAGCTTTGCTGGGCCAGATACCAGGTAATCCCTTAAATGTGTCCAGTGTGCCTGTCAGTGGAGCAGAACTGGGCAACAGGCTTCTTTGGGTTCTCTTCAGTGGATGATGTAGTCACCAAAAAACACAGTTTAAGGTTAACTGAAACCAGTTGTCAGAATAAGAAGAGAAGGCAAAGGCAAAAAGACTATTAAAACATTTTCTTTCAGCATTTTCAAAACAGGTTTCACATTTTTGCTTCAAAGCAACTTGTTATAGCCAAAGTCATAATGTTTTTAAAAAAGTGAAAAAGCAACCCTAAAAATGAAACACTTAATTTTGGTTTGAAAGGATTTTTTAATGGTTTTTTTATGTTTTGATTTTTCCCTTTTTCATTTCATTTTCAAACAAACAAAACAAAAAAAAAAAAAAGGAAAAAAATTGTCTCAGGTCACCCTCACAACTTCAGGTCACCCTTACAACTTTTTTCCCCCTAGATTTTTCAGTTCAGCCTGCAAACTGAAAAACCACTGTGGGCACAGCCTACTCGGGACTTTACTGTCCTTCTTTCTATTTGAATCAGTCCTAAGCCAAAAAAAATGGGAAGCTCATTTCACCAGGTAATACCAACCAGAATCAAGGTATTTAGTAGATGTAAAAATACCGAAAATGGGAGTTGTGGCTGTTTAAATGGGCTGAACATGACCCAGGAGATAAAAGACCTCCTGGCTCCAAAAAACATTGCCATCTACAAGCTTCCTGCTATGCCATCCTACTCTCATATAAGGCAATTTATAAACTGTGGGTTTGATCCTGCATGTGACTGAGATGTACTGGCACCACTTATTTGCGAGCAATGCAAGATGCAGGTAACCCTCCCTACCTGCTCTAAGCAAGGGGTTTGGGGGGTTGGGAGTTTTGGGTTGAGGGGGAAGCAAATGGGGAGAGATGCCAACGTTCTCCCCACCAGTCATATTTGAGCATCAGTCACGTGACCTGAACACAACGTCCCTTTTTTGCAGAGCGTTACCACTTCTGCAAGGAAAATACAGTACTGGATAGTTTCTTTGCAAGCTCAATGAAATGAAAAGGCCTTACAAGGATCTTTGTTGGGACAATCGTCTGGTTCAAACACAGCAGAAGACAACAATGACAAAAACAGCAAAGAAACCCCACAATAAATTAGAGATCAGCACAGCTTTCTAAAGGCTCTAGAACAATTACTTGCAAGACAAAAAAATCACAGCTCTGGTACTTAGAATCTTGTCATTTTTTTAAAAAAACAATAATCCACAGGTTTTGCATAAAAATAAACATTTTAAGCTGACAGCATTATGTTAATTGGATCAACCCGCTTTTTAATATATATATTTCTATGTATATTTAAATGTATATTTTTTCCTACGAATATTCTTTAAAGGAGTAATGGGAGTCACAAATGCACAAAAATAGAGTAATAATAAAGACAATCCTGGTGAAAAAGAAGAAAAAAAAAATCAAACAGGGCAGTATTCTAAAGCAACAGCTCACCATACTATAACTTGTGGAGTCCAGTCCTTACGTATTGTGAGCAATTACTCCTAAATACTATTGGGTTTTGTAACAGTAATGTAAAATATAAATTCCTGCACTTTTTTTTTTTTTTAAAAAGGGGCGGGGGGGAGAGATGGGATTTGGATATATAGGACAGATTTTGATGCCTGTTACATTGCTGTAAATAACTAGCACAGATCATCTACCAAGCTGAAAGCAGGAGGAACTCCACCAATTCTTGCATTTACCAGTTTCCGGTTAAAATCTGATTCTTCCCTCTGAACTAAAAATTTAAAAAATGCCATACAATGTTCTTTCCGATCAAAACAGATCAGAAAAGGTGGGATTTTCAGTAGTGTGTGTCAGCATTCTGTGCGTCTTTGACAAAAGTCAACTCCTACCAGCTAGGAAGATTATTTCAGAAAGTGATCCTGTCCCTTTACAGCAGGAGGTAACCTCACTGTTAAAAATCACTTCAAGGCAAAAAGATCGTGAGGGGGGAAAAAAGCCATAAAAAATGGTAATAGCATGACCTGCTTGCCAGCTGCATCAGTATTCAAGTAAAGTTTAAAGTACCTTTGTGGGACTTTTAGAGTCTTGGAGGGTCAGACCGGCTTCTTTTAACAAGTGTAATATGCACTTTGAAACAGCCTTGTCATCTGCTTGTTTAAACTAAAAAACAAAACTCGAAAACAAACAGGAGCAAAGGAAAGGTATAGGAAAGGTCTCAGCATCAGTATTAGACTGCAGAGTGTCTTCTTGACACTGACACTTTGATGTTCTTGCCTTCCTTTCTAATGCATTAAAGTCTCATAAAGTCATGCAGCCATTTTAAATGAGTATTTCAAGAGTGCAGTTTTCATAGAGGTTAATTTCATCACCAGCACAGCACTGGAGAAAGCTGATCTAACAATATTTCACTTACAGAACTCTTCAAAGGAAAATAAGAAATACAATTCCACAAATAACAATGCCAATTAAAACCACAGAAAGCAAATTGTTTTTTCCTCAGTACTTTTTCTTAAACATTCTTTCAGAAGAAAATTTTTCTTCCCTTGTCTCTTTCTTTAAAACCAAATTTTCTAACCAGCCAGATTTGAGAGCTATATTCCACCTACATGAATCTAAGCTTTTCTGAAACTGCCTACAGGGGTTTGGGGGCAGAAGATTCCCTCTCCTAAATTTCAGAGCCATCTAAATGGCATCCACTTGCTTTGTCTGGTTTCTCTTGAAGTTGTCTATTCCCCTTAGTATTTGTGAGAATTTAGGTGTCTGCATTTGAAAGAACTTTGGACTGAGCACAGCTTCACACATTTCGTCTTCTCCATGCCCTTTCGATATAGTTTGTTCTATCTTTACATGTACAAAATCACAGTTTGTGTAACATTGTTTTAAAGGAAGAAAATAAAATACACACACGCACACACACACATTGTATTGGTGAACACTATACACTAAATATTTTTTTCAACAGCATAACAGAAAGTTTGGCCTACTGTAGGTTGAACATGTAGGGAAGGCTGAATTTTTACGGTTGCCATGCAAGCCACCTTCAAGACAAAACAGATGAACCCACCCAAGAGCAAATGCAGCTTCTACTCTCAAGCCATTAGACAAATACTGCCTTTCCAGGGATCAGACTGACATCTCACCAATTCAGTCGATGCAGTATTTAGAGAACCGCACCGAGTTGGCTTCTGCATCAGTCCTCTGAATCCAAATGCTGTTAAAACCAAAGGGGGAGGAGGGTATTTGACTTGCCTTATTATTATTATTATGTATATATGTTGATAACACTTTGAATTTCAATTTACTTCTGAAACCTTGCCCTTTGAGAAGAACACACCCTTTAAGTTGACATTTTTTTCAGGCTTCTGTTCCTTTACAATTCTCTTTTCATTTCGCTGCTGTTTTCCAATTATCTACCAGGAAACTTGCTTTCTTCCAGCAGAAATGCAGCTGGTGGGCTTGGGATTTCACTGCACCCGCTCTGTGAAATTCTCTGGGAAAACCCCTCGGCATTGGTCAAGTTCCTTACGCTGGATCCAGTCAGACTCCTTCACGCCCATCAGCCATCCTTCATCCTGGAGGAGAAGACAGAGATCAGATGCTGAGGGATAGATGCAAGTGGGGATTTTTCTTATAGAGTGCAGGCCAAGAAGGTATCAAGGCATTATCAAAGCCATGCTCGTAGTTGGCTTGGAGACAATCCAGGAAGAGGATGGGGGAGAAGGAAGAAAAAAAATGCTTTCATTCCCTTTTAAAACAGGGAGAAGGCCACATCTCACCAGAGTCGGTACCAAAACTCCTATCTGACCCAGAGTGTCTAGAGGCAGTGAAACTGTAAACAATTAGCAAGCGTAATAGAAACATGCCATAATTTACACCCACCAAAGCAGGAGAAATTCTGCCAAAGAAAGTCTCTAGAGCTACAGGCTGGGAACCACTTACCCCACCTTTCACTGCCTAAACATGAAGGGTCTAGCATTCTCCATAGTCACAAAATACACGGGCATCTCCACAGCGTAATTCACCCATTCATCTCAGGCACAGGTCTTTGGAAAGGATGAATCATTCCTTGGAGGTGCTCATCCCCTGGTCTGGTGATGGCACCTGGGTGATTAGCATTTTAGAGAGCTGACACAGGCACTGAGTCTTGCTTGCTAAGCTGAAATCTGGTCTACATATGAGAACTGGGAGCTGACGACCTCAACCCATCTTCCCAAAACCCAATAGACTGTTGGGCTTGATGCAAGATACAGTTGATAAAACTCCCCAAACTGTGCTACACATAATATAACACTCAAGGTCTCTCACAAGGGTCGTCCCTAGCCATCAAACCTATAGACCTATGAACAGGGATGCAAAATGGAGTCCTGCCTGGTAGAACCTGCTCAGGAGAAGAATCGGATTTCCCACCCTCTCCCTGCTCTCTGCAGGGTTTCCAGCACCAAGATTTCTGCTCCACCTGAAGCACATAAGGGAGACAAGATATTCAAGGTGGGAAAGCTGCACTTCTTGCAGCTCAGATGTGCAGCTACTCTATTTGCTGCTTGTCTTGGAGCTGCCACCATGAAGCACCCCTTCAACATGCAAATGTGCCCACTCATTTGCAGTGGGGCAGCCTATGGGCTAAGATTGCAGCATGAGGCAATGGAACTGCACAGGGAACCACCACCTCCAAATCTGACAGCTTGTTCTGCATCCGCTGGATGAGCATGCATCCAGCTCATGTAGACATATGTCAGCACATCCAGCTACATAACTTGCCAGGGCAGAAACCCTCAGGCAACCAGATGCTCTAAGCTGTGGGGAAATTGGGCATGCGTGTGTGCAGTTCACATAGTTGTTCTGCCACTTCTCCTTTCCTGGAAATGGCAGGAGTTACCTGGGTATTTACTCAAGGCCAAGCAATGCCTCCCTTGAAACTTGTTCTTTAAAAACGTACCTGCACAGTGCAGGAGTGACGCAGCCCTCGCCAGGGGTGATCCATGGGGCACGTACTGCTTTCCACTGCCATTTTGCAGCTTCTGCCCTCTTGTCCTGTTTTCTGCACATTTCATGTGGCAGCAGCTCAGACCAGACACTGTACCTGAGTTCCCTGCTCCTTGCAGGCTGTGCTGGGTGCCTGCAGGCTCAGTTAGCCCTTGCTGCTGCCTTAGATTTGAGCATTCAGGAGATGTCATGGGAATGGCATGAGACGGGAGCCCATCTGCAGCAGCCAGCTGCAGGGGCTGAGGAAGGACTGACATGCCATAAATCAGGAAGACAAACGACTAGGTGGAAGATGCTGGGCCCAAGTGTCTGGAAGGCAGCTTCCAGCTCACAGCACAGCAAGCACAAAAGCTCAGCCATTTGTACATAGCGTCTGTACCATACAGCATGCATCACTCCCACTGCATCCTGCTACAAAGGGTCTCCTCAGCTGTAGGGATTAGACACAAGGACCCAGCCTGACCCTTGCCAATTTTGAACCACGTCACTTGAAGTGCCAGCTTAGAAGCATTGTTGCACTCAACCCCTTCTTCTACGAATAGAGATGAATCCAGGCCTGGATGTACCCCAAACGGACACCTAAGCTGCAAGATGGGGACATGGATTACAGTCTATCATCCTAAGCTTCCTCCACTCACGTGCACAGTTCATGCACATGTTAACAGCCAACGTTTTCTGGCTGGGTATGGTCTAGGTTAGGGAAATGAGCTGTAGCACAGGATACACTGTAGGAGGGTTAGGGGGCTTCAGTGCAGCTATGGCATCATGTTAGCAACACTCAGAGCTCACCCTCTGCAGCTTGGAGAGTCTCGAGTTCATGGCTGTTGCACCCACATCCAGCTAGAGTGCAAACATAGGGCATTGAAAAACTGTGCTCCACAAATGCCATCTCCTGTCACAGAAACTAGGGGAGCTGCCACTCATTTCCCATCCAGAAAGCTTTCTGAGAAAGAAATGCTCACAAATGCTTGTGCAGGGCAGTCCCACGCAGAATCTTTGTCTCCAGAAGGAATCACTGCCTCTTCCCCATACAACCCTTCCCCCCAGAGCACATAGCTCTGCAGGAACTGTCAGCACCTTATAGCTCCCATTTCACAAGCAGCAGCAAGATCTGCCTCCATAATTCACAAAGTCAACAGCTGAGCCACAAAGAGGATCCACATCTTCTGTGGCCAGTGAACTACTTCACCTTCCCTTTACCCCTTGTTGGAATCCAGATCATGTCTAAGCTTGGTCAAACCCAAAGAGCTGGTGACTACTGAATCAATTTGGAGAATTCCCTTCCTTCTCCAAACAAAAACCTGGAGACATGAGCATGAATTTTATAAAATCGCCACCTCCCTCAGCCAAAGTAGTAAAACTACTGCAAACTATCAGCTGGAAGCCCTCAAACACAGCAAGTGAGGAAGATTTATTCAAGGCTTCTAGAAATAGCTCAGATTAAAGAAAAACATTGCCAATTCAGGTTGGAGATGGACAGTAAGATTGCTCTCTGGGGCTGAGCAACCTGTTCCAGCCTTTGGTTCTGCTGCCATCTCCTGACCAAATGCTGTCTTTTGAAAATAGGCATTGCTATGCTGGAGTGCAAGACATCATCCACGGCAAGCTGCTTTCTCAGAGCTCCAACATTTCACAAGTGGGTAGAAAACATCATCATAACCTGTGGGTCACTCCTGCCAATGCCACAGTCTGCACTGCAGTGGTCACAGGGAATGTGCATCATGTTTAGGAGCAGTGAGGAGGCAAAATATGGGCTCTGTTGGGCTATTGCATTGGCTCAAATGCGCTGATAGGGACAGGTAGCCACGGCTATTTCACATGCGTTATGCAGGATAGTATCTCTGCCTTCCAATCACAAGCAGAGTCCTCCTCTGTAGCAGGAAGCCAACTTCAAGCTAAAGGACAACCGGCTCTCCTGCCAGCTCCCAGCCACAAACTGATGGCTCTGCACCAACCAGCCGACTGTTAGTGGAGGAAGAAGCAGCTCTGGAAATCCCCTCGGCTCCTCCCGGCCCAGGTTCACACCCTGTCTTCCCCATTCACCTGCTCCTCAGGGTTCTCAAATGGAATCACAAGCACCACGTCCCCGGCCTTCAGCTGCAGCTCGTCGCTGTCGGTGGCCGTGTAATCATGCATGGCCTGGACCTACGGGGAGAGGAAAGGAGAGCTTGGGTGAGGCCAGCCTTCTCTCATCTAGCTCTGTAATGGGTGACAAGGCTTTCCACTTCATTGACTCACTGGATGATTCAGGTCGGAAGGCACCTTTGGAGGCCATCTGATCCAACCTGCTGCTTGAGGCAGGGCAAGTTTGGATCACAAATGCCACATCTACAGGAATAACCATTTCCCTTAATTTAATGGCTACATGCTTGTTCATACAGCCTGACATGCAGCTCATCTTTGCCACCAGGGCATCCTGGTGAGTCTCATTCAACTCATTCATCAGCACCTCTCTGTCCTTCCTTACGAGGGTTGAATTCCCATGGTATGGGCCTAAAAACCTCACATGGTAGAAAGGCTATGTTCACTTGAATGGTGACCTGTATTCTTTTTGCAGCTGGACTGCAAGACTATTAGTGATTATAGCCTCCCATCCCTGTCACAGCAAGCAGGGAGAGGAAACACAGGGAAGAGTATCAGTTTGGATCTTCGAGTGATCATATCCTGCCATGTTTTCTCTTTGGTATTCAGCCTAATTCCTAACAACATCTGTGTTACAGCTTTTCTACTTCATACCACAGCTCTCCACTTCGAGCACTATCATCTATAATGCTGTCAGTAACCGGTCTGAATGTCATGAGCCTCCTATTGTTCTTCATGGTTTTGTCATTCTTCTGCTTTTGGTAGATCTCCCCCCAAAAAAATTATGCAGAAGAAAAGCATTCCTATAGCAGGTTAAACAAACAAAAAAGGAGAGTGTCATTTCTCACTTGCACAGCATGATGCATCTGTGCTGTCTTGCCACCATATTCCATTATGCGTATTAAATTTGTGGCCTATCTTCGCTCAGAATCACTCATTCCTCCACACCTTCCAAACAAGCTGCAAGTGATCTGTGGCATACTCAGAATACCCACCATACTTCCCTATCTAATGCTATATTTTTCCCTGTTCATCCTGGCTGTCTAATTTCCCCAAACACGAAGCACTCAGTCCCTATTGGTGTTTCCAACTCTTCCTCATTTGCCACTTGCATCAAAGTTTAATCTTTCCAGTTTGGAGCACAACTTCTTATCTACTACCCATGGTCTGTGACTGACACTACCACTCCTACGATAGAAAGAACTGCAGCAGTGAGGAGGGGGCGTTTTGCTACACAGTACAGCCAGATATTTAGACACAGATGCTCTTGCACAGTCCTCTGAAGCACTTGGAATGGCATGAAGCTGGGACATGCTGCTGGAGAGGAAGGTGTATCTCTCCTTCAACTTCCTTTCTCCCTTTCTATGTGGCATAGCCCATGGTCATGTTGAGCAAAAGTAGTTAATTCACTACAGGTTTTAAAAAAAAAAAAAAAAAAAAAAATCACCAGGAATTCAGTGCCCCACCACCATGCACTAACCTTGAAGAGAAATCCTGGGGGCATGTCAGCTCTTTCAGATGAAGCGCCTCCTTCCACAGTGCCATTGACAGTAGCAGGGAAAGTTTCCACAACAACAGCGGGCAGAGAACTCTGATAGGCAGCAGCAGCCAGGGAAGGAAAAAAGCCATTGAGAAAAGAGAATCCAAAATTGCAGCTCCAAGTCCACCCTGGAGGATCCACATCACAACCCTACCCATGGCTTCAGTGGGTTTTCCCAGTACACCAGTTAGTGACAAAAACACCCCAAAGGACAGCTGAGGCAGCAGTGAAAAGGCAGGAGAGGTGACCGCTGTCTCTCTTTGCTCAGGGCTGCAGAAGAGCGGAGTGTATTTAGAGTTTTTCAGGGACTGTACTGCCTGGCATTTCCTATTCACTGTGGTCAGGACACAGTTCTTGTAGAGCCCTCATGGAACAGACAACTTGCTTGTGACAGCCTACTGGAACCAAGCAGCAATGACATGGGACCTACTCCAGTCCCCTAAAAAGGTGACAGTGTCAGGGAAAAAAGAGGAACCCTGGATATTCAGGGAACACAAGCAGAACCCAAGGGACAAGGTAGGTAAAGTAAACAGAGAGCAAGGAGGAATCCAGCAGACAATGCGAGCTTAGCACAATGTGGACTGTGGGCTGGCTTCACAACATGGGTGAAGGGACAGTTCTTTTTGTGGATCTTCCAGCAGAGGTTCTTCCTAAGCATTATACAGATAAAATGCAACGGCTAAGTCTGCCCTCTGAACAAGAGCGTTGTAACTGCTGGGGAGGCAGGGATGTGGTTTTCCAAACAGCCACACATCTCTTCCCAGCCCAGCCTCCCACATCTGCTGCATGACAAAGGGATGTGACAGAGAGAAGAGACTGCTGTCCCTCAAGCTGCTTACCGATCCTGAATCAGCTTCGGTTTTAGATGCTTCAGCTCCAGCTGCTGCTTCTGATCCAGCTGCTTCAGCTCCTGCATTGGCTGCTTCTGCAGGCTGCAATACAAAAGCCATCCAGGTGGAGAGTTACGCTCATTACAGCCATGTGTGTGTGCACAGAAAAGTGCAGCTCAGTCTGTCCAAGCACTCTACGCTGTTGCCTACTGCCATCTGCTGACAAATAGGTGAGGGACCTCCGGGTCTCACTAGGTTTCTGTCTCCCTCTTCCTCTGCAATTCTGCAGTGAAATCATAGCAAAGCCTGCATTCCCCTCATTCCAGCCACGCAGCACGGAATACTCTAGAGAAAATCAATGCAAAAATCCTGTGTGCCTTTTTTGTTTCAGGATCTAACATGAAAGTTTACCCATGCACAGTATCTCTTATTACATCTAGATTGCCTGCTTCTACATGAATACACAAGTCTGCTTGCATGCCAAGGGACAAGGATCTCTCAATAAGCTGCTTCCAAGGATCAACAATCAAGGAATATTTAAACCTTTGCATACTCCCAGAAACAGAAAAGCACGGTAATAATGTCACAGATATGGAACTTAGTCTGGACCCAGCATTCACATGACATTGGCATTGAATCAAACTGAACTAACTTTCACCCAATTTGATTTTGGACAGGCCCAGAAAGTCATGAATTTGGATTCTGCTGTGAATATTCTATTAGTAAGAATTTGCTATGAACATTCTGCATGGTGTGTGTGCACATTTGTATTGGTGGAGAGGGGAGTTTCTAATGCACAAAAGCTGCCGCCACCAGAGAGAAATATTCAGCATCACCTAGAAGTCACTGCCTGGCAAGGACTGTTTAAGGAAGCTTGGGGACAGGGGTTTCTGTGCACAACAAAAGACCAACCAAACATCTCTGATACACTTCCAGCTTTTGGAACTTACAGCTTCTAAAGCTTTTGCTCTCCCTTGCCTGAAGTCAGGCTAAGTCTCTTTTAACACAAAATTAAAGATACTCATTTGCCCCTCCCAGAAACTGCAGCAACACAGGAAGTACTTGGACCTGGTAGCACCAATACTGCCAGATCAGCCCCTTGGGAGACTGGCCAAGCAGCATCTGGGAAGATCCCTGACAAGAATCTCAGGGGTATAATTTGCAGCCCATGTGTCATCATGGCCAGTCTATATCCATTTGTTCTCTGTACCAGATAGCACACGCACCTCTTTGCAGAATCTAACTAGATATCCACTTTGTACTTGCACAATAGATTGTTATACAGAGATTTCCCATTTCTAATACATGTGAATAAACTAGTTTTAGCATGCCTACATGCCTTATATATTTGGTAAACACATGTACCCCTGAATACAACAATGTTCAAAACAGGGCATTGTTCAGATCTCTTAATGTTGCAGTTCTCATAGTCCCGACCGTACAAAAGACCAGTGTAAAGCAACAACCATGGTAACTCTTAACTCCACACCCATCTGGCTACTAGCCACACACTGCCACAGTGCTCCAAGTAGTTTTCTAATAACAGCAGCAATAATGAAGAAATAAATCCTTGATTTAACAAAAAGCCATTACTTCACCTTCAGCTTCACCAATGGTGCCACTTAACACATGCTTTACTTTCCTACTATCATCTCCTTCCTCACATCTCCCCATCCCCATGTCCACAGGCCTCTATAGCCAGAGGATATTACAAATAGCAGAGCTGTTCCCATCCTGCAGAGCATTCCCGCAACAGCTCTGGTAGTGCTAAGGTAAATGTATGCATATGAAATGCTACAAAGGCTTCTCCTGTTTAATTAGGTTCACTTCCAGATTGCTTTTTTATTTGGGTTCAGTGAAACTGGACCTGGGAGAGATGCCAGCCCAAGTCTATCTGGCCAAGCATGGTTTTTATGTGGATAACTGAAAAGGAGCTCAACATGAGCTCCTTTTTTAAAAGCAGCTAATTTGCAAAAACAGTACTTAATAATCAGAGAAACTGAATCTAAATTAATCCCCTGGATTTCAACAAAAGCCATTTTCATGTCAGCTACTTATTTTTCTATTTTATGTACCTGTGGGTATCCCATGGCCTATAAAAACACTTACAGTCATGGAAAGATACTATAGGGGGAAGAGGAAGAATTGCTCACTGCTGTTGCCAGGTTTGAAAGCTTTGCTTATTCCAACAGCAACATCATACACACCAAATGCAGGTTTCCTAGTCTGCAGAACTAAGCAAGTTCTGCTACATCCAAGTTTCTATGCGGTTGCTAACCTCATGGCATATGGGACTATGAAACCATGCAGCAAGTCTCCTCTCATCAACAGCTAAGACCAACATTAGAGCAAAAACACTTCAGAAGACTTGAAGAGCAAGAGGAGGATTCCCCAGCTGTAGGGAGCTCTGCTCTTTAACCCTGTATGGTATGCCAAGGTCAGAATTTGCATGGTGACAACATCTTGTTCAGTAGCATTCCCCAGCTGATTAAATTGTCCTTTGGGTGAAATCAGTTTCCAGGATGGAAGAAATGGCTCAAAACACTTTTTACACCCCAGACTCTAAGCACAGCTCAATCAGATGCAGTCATACATCACCCCTGCCCAACCACTTGAAAGGCACAAGATCTTTCCTTGCGAAAACGCAGACTTCTTTTCTTTCTTACTAAGACAGACTGACAATGCACATATAGGGGAATGACAGATGTTAAACACTGATGGCTGATAAAACACACAAGGGAAACATCTTTCTCAACATGACCCAAGCCCATGTGAAGGAGAGCACTGGCCACAGTGAGTCCTCTCAGCAACGGTTAAGTCACGTCCTCCCAAGTATTGACTCTAGGTGGTGATCTGCCCCTTGAGAATGGAAAGGTTTGCAGGACTCTGTTCCCCAGGATAAGCCAAGGACACGTGCTTACATCTACACCATGGATATAGCCAGCTCAAGTAGCAGGCTTGAGTGCCCAAACTAAGCGTTTTCAGTGCACGCTGCTGGCTGTTTGTCCAGAGGGGCTCAAAAGTAGTGCCTGAAATATCTCCCAATGGGCTAATTTGTAGCAATCCTGAGACCTTCCCAGGCTTGATATATCCAGAGGACATAAATGACGGTCTGACTTTGGTTCAGATGCAGAGCATGTGTAGGGTCTCCCTTGTCAGCAAGCTCCAAAGCTGAGGTTGAGGCAGATGTCAGGTAAGTCTTGGGCCTGCACTTAAACTTTCAGCGTAGACACAGGTTGAGCTATTTCACACCAGCCTTTCTGGCAATGAACAGCAAACACCACAGATAATCACAAACATGTATGTATACCCAATAGTACAAGCAGTAAGGACGAGGGACAGCTGAGACATTTATGCATTGCACACAAGACCAACAGGATGTACAGAGTTTACGAAATACTCGGGGGTGGAGGGTGAGGATGATAACACAGTAGGATGAAGTTTGAGGACCATCATGCCAACGGAAAGATGAATGAGTTAGCAAGGAAAGGCAATGGGGTTGTGTGCTGGTGGAGATATAAGTTTCAGAGTGCCAGGCGTGACTTGCAAACATATGGCTGCCCCTGGGGTTTCACAGAAGGTGCAAAAGTGGGACTTTGGCTTGGGGTGTGCAGAAAGGAAGAGCAGCAAGGGAAAGGAGACAGGTATACACACAGAGATAGCACTGGCACATGCACAGTATATGATGAGAGATGAAAGCCGTATGAAGTTCTTACCTCCCATAAATCCCAAGGTAAAGACTAAGCATGTCAAAGAGCAACAAAAATAAAACATGTTTATACGTGATTATTTCACTGAGTACAAACATTACAGATGCTGATCAGACTGAAGCAGACATACACATTCAACAGCACTTATCTCTGCACTTTTTAAAAATATTTTTTTAGTACCTGAATTTATACACCCCTCCCCACTGCACATTCAAATTTAAGGACCAAGGCATTTGAATAATGGTTTTTTCTACTTCTAGTATGAAGGGAGACAGCCACCAAGCCACAGCTGGTTATCAGTGGCAGATCACAGAGCTAGAAAACAAACCTCATGAGTTTGTGGTCCAGCAGGATTAAATATGTTCCCATGTATCCCCTTCACCCAATAGAGTTAGCATGGTTTCAGAACAAGTCTTCAACTGGTATCTTTGGATCAGTAGTGAAATATCTTAACCTCTTTGCCATAGTGCCCACCCTATAGGAAATAAATTTGACAGCTTTGAAAATTAGGTGGTTTTCGCTAGGTTTTGTACTGTGGTTACCATTAAAAAGTACTGGTTTCAGACCCTTTTAATGACTTCTGAAGCTAATAATAAATACATTAAAACACTAAATATGCTATTGCTGAGCAGTTTAAAAAACCCCACTCAATATAATATTTGTTGTTTGCCACAAGGGCAACAAATAATTCCATTTTAAGCCAAATGTATACTCGTATCCTATGCCAGTATACCCAATTATCTAAGTTATAACTGGTGATTCAGGAAAGAAAAAAATCCCAGTAAATAATATTTTTGGAAGAAAGCTTATCCTAGCATGCAGTTTGTTCTGTCAGGTAATCAGACACGAAACGCCAATCTGCCCACTTAAAGTTCCAGAAAGTGGTAGCTTGCCATATTGGCGTGTATCAAATCATGATAATAACTAGTATTTTGCAGATACAGTGTTTTAATTTAGAAGAATTAAATACCTAATGTTTGATCTCTCTAATAAGAGAGGTCTTATTGCTAAAAAATCTGTGTCATACAGGTCTACCTGGTATAATGATACTGGAGAAACACTGTAAACATCCCAGTTATGTTTATTACAAATTTTAATGGCAACCACAAGTAAAAAATAACCATTTCATACTTAGTTGTCTCGGTGAGGACAACAGCCAAATTCAGGATGCTCTTTGAAGCTTCCAGCCATTTAGATATAAGATGCAGTGCAGTCCACCTGCCTCCAACAGCGGACAGGACCAGGTACAGGTCAGACCAGAATTAGGCATCTTCCTTTTTGATACTCCACTGCGCAGCGTTATGCTCAGGGAGGAAGCTACTTCTTAACTATGAATAGAGACTATGTTAACCCAGAAAAACAAGGGCTTCACATCTCTTGAGTATCCGTCTACAGCTTTATTCACCTTAAGTAACTGCAGATTATCAGTGTCTGTTTATTAAAAATCCCTTCGATAGCAATTTATAGCAGAAGCGCAGAACTGAAGCTGAATTCCCATCCACAGAGTAACAGTTTAAATCCACATAGCATACAGAGGATGCTAATCTAGGGAGGGATATACATGAAGTTGAACAAGTTGTCAATCGGTAGATCATCAGAGCAAAGCATAAGCATCCCACAAACACCTAGTGCCAGGCTGTGGCCAAGCTAATAGCCACCTGATTCTCACTGGACTTACACATCCAGCAGAGAAGACCAAGGTGTCCATCTGCAAGGCGCGGGTCTGAGCATCCAGCCCAGCTACCCACAGCTCAGGTCCACGTTATCATTCACGTGGGCGGAGGTCATGCCACACTTGGCAACAAGTCAGTTATGAAGGTAGAAGGAATGGTGATATGAACCAACCTGGGAGGCGGGTGTGGGGGTCTTCCCCACAGTGGCATCTGGTTTAATGGGATCAAAATCCAGATCCAACAGGCTGGCTCCCTCCTGGAAGGGCCCAGGGGCATCAAACTTGGCAGCAGTGAGGAAGAAAAGCAGTACGACCATTAGACACACACGCGTGCACACAGTAGAAGGATATGTGATATCCAGGAGCTAAGGCTGCAAGCGCAGAAGACATGGTGGCAATGCAAACACCTGATGTGACTCCTAACTGCTTGGTGCCCGCAATCATGGGCAATTTGCATGGGTGCCACTGTAAACCAAACCTGAGCTTTTTCTATAGGACTCATTCATCTTCCCACCTGGCCAAATGAGCTGACACGGTGTAAGCACCTGACCTGCTGTGGTCAAAAGGATCACTGCCACTGTTGACTCAGAAGGGCTTCTCTTCTATTTGTATCTATTCCCCATAGCTCATCCAGCTGCCTTTGTACTGAATGCCCAGGACAGGCTCCCTCAGTCACATACAGAAGAGCTGCCATCCATACAACTTATCTTAGGAACACAGATCCAGGCAGAAAACCATTCAAACTGCTGGAAGGCAAGTCCGAGACCTCAGGGTTAACTCCCAAAGCTCCCAATTCCCTCCTGCCTTCTGAGACAGAAATACAGAATATGGCAGCTCACCCTAGCTAAGGGATTCGAATCACTCCACAATCCAAAAATGCCGGTTTCAATGGTTTCCATTTCTGGACATGCCTGAAACATGCACGCACGAGTCTTCTAACAAAGCATAAATTTGAGAGGCTTTGCTATTCTCTTCAAAGTCAGCAGAATAACTCCCTTTGATTGATTAACGCTCTAGTTAAAGACAATGATGGCATATTCGCTACCATTAATAAAACAGTCAGTACAAAGGACATGAGTCATTAGTATTCAAAACTGAACCTTTGGGTCTTAGATTTAACCTAATCACTATAAGACACTCCTTTCTACTCAGCGTCAGAGGAAGCTGTTCTCTCCAGGAAGTCCTGGAAGATTTGCCCCTGTTTCCACTGACCTCCCAGCTCACTGGCCCTACTGCTTCAGCTACCTTTCCAACAACACACAAAGTGTGGCAGGTTGGTCTCCACAGTTATATCACAGCCCCACAATGGAAAAACTCCTGGAAAGTACCAAGAGACACCCTTTAAGACAAAGTCCTCTGAATACAACCCATACTACCATCATTTTCACCTCCTCTAGTTTCCTCTTGCTCCAATTCTCTTTTAGATTTTTCTCTCCCTTATGAACATCTCTTTTTGAGCCCCACAGGGATGGGGACAAGGAACAAAGCTTTCCTATCTCGTAATAATAAACGCTGACCAGAATGCAAAAACCAATTGGCATTTTAGTACACTCCTCCAGCACATCCAGGCCACTCATCAGAGAGGCTCCAACCCCAATCTTTAGCTTTGTTTGGTAGTGAGACATCAAAGGCTTCAGTCATGGAATAAGCTTACCTACCATTCAAGACTTATGTGCAAGGGCTAGCACCCCTTGCCTTTACCCAGATCTCCCACAAGACAGCTCGTTGGAGCTAAGACATCTGACAGGAATGGCCCTGGGCAACACACCAAAAGCTAGCGGCTGTTGGTGCTTCAGTGAAGATTGTTCTGGCAACCAGAGTCCTCCCTCAGAACTCCCATCTGATTGAAAGTCACAGCAGATCCCGTCCTAGGTCAGAGCACTGATCAGGTGCAGAAGAGTACATCTGACTAAGGGCTGGCATTTACATGGAAATATATGATACAAACCATGGAGCAGACAGAGCTGTCCATTATGATACAGGAGAAGGAAGCACAGAAAATGATAGAGTTGCTCAGCTGCCTGTGGTCCCCACCTTCCAACACCAGTATCAAATCATCTCTCTGCTCTGTAGACATTATCTATTGCAATGCTAATTCTGACATGGACTTCCTTCCCTCCCCACTCCACCTCTGCTCCTCAGCAGCTGGGTGGAAGGTGGCAAACCAAAGGCAATGTAGCAGCATGATGCAAGAAGAAGTTAGGGAATGAGTCACATGAGCAGTGATAGACATTACTTGTGCATTAACAAGCATTTAGGGAAAAAAAATATGTGTGTGTGTGTGTATATATATATAAAAAAAATAGATGCAGGTATCTCATGATACAGCCAGAAATCTGGTCAGGCTCCTACATACATAAGGACTGCCATTCTCCTAGATCCAACACAGAATTCCCCACCTGGTTATCCTCACTTGCAGTGATGTAAATCAAAAGGAAAGCAAAGAGGAAAATACATAATTTGAAAACGTCTTTCCTTTTTCAGGGCTTCAAAAGGTACCACATGACAAGAAAGAAATATTCTGCTAGGAACCGTTGGCTGGTGAAGAGTGACAGACACTGTCAGCAGTCCTTAATTCACAGCAGGCACAGTCCTGCCCATCTAACCTGGAGGCACCTATTCTCTGGAAAGAGAACTTCATGCAATTCCTGTTGGCCTTTCCTGTGCAGGTGTGGGCCTTAAACCACAAAGCCCATGTGTGAAAAGCACAAAACTGCCCTCTCCCAGAACTGGCGCAGAAGCCAGGGTCAGCACTTGGGGATGTACAACAGCAGAAAGCACATGCTTCATCCACACCCAGGATCAGTGGGTCCGGAGGGAGCATATCATGGGATATGAGTGGAGCCATAATCCATGTGCATTGCTGCTGAACAAATGCAGTGATTACTTTCTGGCACCTTCAGCAGTTGCATTTCTCCCATTTCTTCTATGAATGAAAGCTCTCAAAGGGCAATGTGTTAGTCAAAGCTGCCTTCTAGCCACCCTCCCCTCTAAGTTAGCCTCCTATTTAACCCTTTGCCTTCTGAGCTCTGATGCTGAGCTTGCTTTCCTCCTTCACCTGACCAGGTTTCATGGCTTGGCACCTCCAAAGAGAAGAAATGTCAAAAGGAAAAGTTCAGAGGCAGACAAATATAAGGCAGGGCATAGCAGCTAACCTGCGAAGGGGTTGTCACACTTATCTCAGGGACAAAATTGTCATCAAACAGACTGATGATGTTCTCCTGCTTGATCTCCTTGGAGGGGGTGACTTTTGGAGGCGGAGGCACCGGAGGCCCTTTCCTCAACTGCATGCAAGTGAGCACACGGCCACAGCACAGACGGCGACACCAAAAAAAACCAGAGACAGGAACCAGGTTAGCCACAAAAACTGAATGTGGGGGAAATAATAACCACAGGCAAGAGCAGGGTCCAATCAACTCCACTTGAAGAGAAAGGGAGGGAGGGCGAAGGGCTGAATTGAAACAAAACAAAAAAACAACCACACGCCTCCAGAGAAGGTTTGGCATCATTAGTTACACTTCAGCCGTGGGCAAGTTTCTCTCTGCAGAGGAGAAGCGTAACACAATTAATATGCATTGACAGGACATGCATACATAATTAAAGCATGTGCAACCTTCAAAAGAACCACTGGGAAGGGAACAGATCAATTACTGAAAACATGATTCAATAGACCAGATCAGTCTCCCTTTGCTGTACTTACCATACAAATGAGGGGTCAGACTCAATTTCTCTTATTACGAGTACATGACCATGAGGACAGACTCTGATCTGCCCAGTACTGGTTCCCTGGTGCATTGGTTATCAGTGTACCGTAAGAAAGGTCAGAAGGAGCTCATGATGGTGTCTTACCACTTCTCAGCTTTAGGCAGGAACAATTCAAACTTCTGAGAAGCCATGACTGCTGTGGGCCCAACTCTGCTCTCAGTTTCACCAATGAGCATTGACACTAATGAAGTTGTGTTTCCCAAGTGGAGATCCTACAGAATGCATAACAAAGTCTGACCCTGTAACTCTAACCCACCCCAATACCCACCATCATGCTAAAAGACTCAGCCTGACACTGCATCCACAACCCTGTGGGAAGCTGTGGTAGGTTCTCCCCTAGATCAACCCATCCACATTGTTTTCACGTTTTCCTGTGGCCAAGGTTCAATGATCATTTCTAAATCAAATCAAACTTGAGGAAGCTGCTGCTGTGTTGGAACAAAGCAGCCATACAAGTTCCCAGCACCACAACAATGCTCACCAATGACGAGGCATTTCTATTTTGGTTTAGAATTACTTGATCTTCTCATCGTACTGAGGATCCCAAGGTAACAAGACTCAGAGACCTGACAACAGGAACCCAGAATATCAGTGTCAGGCCTAGATCTGAAACACAGCAATCCCCGAATCTTAGTCCTGTATTCACACTCCTCCAGCACATAACTGAGCTCTACACGTCACTTATATTGCTAAGGATATGCCCAGTTTTCTACTGGGTTAACCTACGTTAAAGAGTGTGAGTGAGTATGCAATCACACATTTACCACTGAAGAGCTGACTAAGGGAAATAATGAAAATAGTGCGTTCACTTCCAACTTTTCACCGTTAGCAGAAGGTGGTGTGTCGTATTTCCTGAGAACAATCCCTTCCTGAAAATCCCCTGCTTGCCAGTTGCAAGAAGGGACCAGAAATTTCAGGGAAAAGCTATTCTCAGAACAGAGACACCATCTGCAAAAATGGGAGGCTCCAATTACAGACTTTAAAGGCAACAGGATTGTATATTCGCCTTGGGTTATACCTGGAAATTCATCAAGCACAAACAACTTTGCTGCCTAGAATAAAACAAATCCTCTAAAATTTTCTGCTGACTTGGAACATAGTTGCACTGATTTCAAAAGCGTCATTACAGTGTTTCAGTGGTGTAACTGAGAGCAAAAGTCTGACCTTTGAAATTTCACAGACCCTTAAAGTCCTGTGTCATTGTCAAACTACTCAGTACAGAGAGCTGATAGCAGTCGCTTCTTCCAAAAGACAGATATAAACTGTTTTTGAGAATTAACGCACAGTAAAAGAGGTTTTTTTTTTGGCATAGGGAACAGTTCAACATTTAGTTAGTATTTATTCGGTCTCTTGTTTTGCTGCCTTTCTCTACAGCCTTTGGCTTATGGTTTGCATTAGTATTTCAGACAGAAACAGGCCAGAGGATTGTACTTGTTGCTTTTTGCTCCATCCTGCCCCAGGGGATAAAGCCCCTAGCCTCCGTAGAACAAATCACTTACCCATGCGTCAGAAGAAACGACGCCTGTGAAGATTTCAGTATTAAAGCCAAGCACCATTGAGAGAGTGGACACGTGTGTTTTCCAGCTGCCTGGCAAGCTCACACACAGTTTCTAGACTTTATCCATACAGACACCAGGCTTTGCTCTGAGTATGAAACCCCTGTCCTTGTCCTCCCTCCCTCCAGAGCCAGCTCCACCTCTTACCACCTAGCATGACTATGGAGCGGAGCTCTTGTTCTTCATTGTGGTGAGGCCTGGGAAGATGAATTAAACACAGGTTGGAAAAGGCTGCCAGGTGGTGGCAGCATTAGCTGCAAATACCATTTCAGTCTTGCCTCTGGCCCATCTGAGGTTCCAGCCAGGGCTGCACTGGAACATTCTGCTTGCTTGACAAGGGGTGCCTCCAGCCCCATTCCTGTGGGCAGGAAGGCAGCAAGTGAAGGAGAAAACACTTGCAGGCTGGCAAAAACAAGGCTTATGTGTGCTATTTAAAGGACAGGGAAGAAGCCAAACTCAGTGAGACAAGTCCACAGGCAGGGTGAGTGAAGTCTGCAGTGAACAGCTCAATAAATCTGTACAAATGTTCCACATCTTAATCAAGTTATGGCAATCTCTGAAAAACCCAGGAAGGCAATTCTGGATGCACTATCTTCTCTCCCCCATACACATACCCTACTTCAAGGTCCTAGCCAGGGTGGTAGCGAAGCCGCTCTAGGCTGTGCAACGCTGAGTGGTGCAGAGACCCTGAAGAAGTCCTGAAAAGACACTGCCAGGCATCCACACATCTCACAGGGCTGGAAAATACCCTTTTGCCAATGTAAAAATATCCCCTTTTTGTCCCTAGATAATCCTGAAAATGAAAAATACAGTGGAGGGAAAAATATTGTGAGAGGCTATCCAGAAACAGGAGACAGCCTACACCACAGGCTTGGATTTAGAATCACGCTGCTACTTATGACAACAGCAAGGAAGTTCTGGGCTGCACCTGTCTCTTTTCAGAAGCAATAGGATTTATCTTACCAGTTTGGCCAGAACCCTTCTCAGCTTTAATTCTCCCTGGAAGACTCCTCCCTGGTGTCCCACTTACTGAAATGCAAGGATTGGCACCAAACATAATTTTGGCCTAGTTACTAATTTTCCCTACTAAGCTTTTCCTGACAGCAATAGAGGAATGGGAAGAGGAAGCAAATGTTTTATTTTCTCTAAATCCCAAAGTAAAACATAGCACATGTTGAGTAGTAGGAGCCACGTCTTCTATTTTAGACATGCCACTGGGTGTCTCCTGTGTAAGGAAAGGACTAACAAAGGCCACACGGAAGGCATCAGACTCCTTATAATGGACAGTCTTCTTCCTAGTACCCACCTAATTTCTTCATAGCATAAGAATATAACATCTTTATTTTTACCATAATATTTTATCTTGGGATTAAAGTAAAACATCATGCAAAGTACAGATGTTCTCCTTATCCTTATCAATATTAAACTTTTTACTTTGAATCTTCCTCAGATACAGAAGTTCTTGAGAAGGAAGTGGACCACTGAATTCCACAGGTTAATTCAAACGTAAAGAACAAACTTCCTCACCTAGCTACAAAATGGATCTTCTTGGCCATCCTACTGGACAACAAAATGTATTACTGGCCTTCCCCCTGTAGAGGTATTCAGAGACAGCTTAGTTCTTCCCTATATGATATAGACATGACCAATGAGCAACTTGCATTCTCAGGAAGCAGTGAAGGAGAACAACTGTCATGTCATATTCTCTGTGCTCAGTAGCAGGAAAAGGTCCAAAAAAACAACTGATGGATGTCTTTGACTCACAGAGCTTGTGCCATCAGCAGTCATAGTGCAGAGAGATGGTCAATGTCATGGGGACGCTACCTGAGATGGTGACTTTGGGATGCTTGCCCCAGGTGCTTCCAAAGTGGATGATTCCAGCTCATGGTTGATGGTCTTGGTCTCAGGGCTGGTGATGGGAGATCCATCTGGTGGAGGCGAGGGGCTTTTATTTGCTTTCGCTGGGGTGCTGTCACTGAAGAAAGTGGAGAGAGAAATGGAGATGGAAAGAGAGAGAGAGAGAGAAGAGAAGTCTGAGCCAGGCCTAGAAGGATTTGTGCTAACCAGCGCAGATCAGTGGCCTCCATCTCTTTGCTTCGCTGCCCAGACATGTGATGAAGACACTGAAGCCTCTATAAGCTTCTGAGAAACATCTTTGCTGAGTCATTTGCAGTCCAACACACTGCAGCAGCATTACTGTGCAGCAGACTTCTCACTAAATTCCTACTTTGCCTCAGACACAGAAAAACAAAACCCAAAAAACAACCAAGCATCCTTAATTCTGCTAGATTCTAATGTAAGTGCCTGACATTAAGTCACAGTCTTTTAATACTGGGGAAGCAGGTAAGGGAGGAGTTCTGTGCAGCTCATTTAGTTTTAAATTCTACAGATAAGAATTTTTCTACGTGGTACTGTACTGGCACCTGCATGGGTTATGACTAATAGATTCGCAACGCTTGAACTAAGGTTGTAATCATAGAATATCATATTCCTCTAACTGGCTAAGCTGGAAAAGGGGCAAAGTAGCCAGAGCTTGCACAGATCACTCCAGACAGCAAAGAAACAGTGAGATTCTGGCTACTAATAAAGATTTCTCTATTATGGAAAGTCTCCCCAGCCTTGTTCTCAATGATGAACCCCTCTGCCCTTGCCTTTCCAGTTGGTCCTTATTCCAGAACTGTTTCTGATACACAGTCAAAAGGCATTCTTCAGGGAATTAAGATGCAAGGACCACATGCCATTTATTTGTTCACAACTTGGCCAGATTTGGACAGATTTTTCAAAGAAATGGCAAGAGGCACACGCTTTTCCCTAAGGGCATGCCCTGGCCAAACGTCAAGTCTGTGTTTCAAAGTACAGAATCATGAGTGATTTAGTAAGAAGTTGGTGACCAGAGAATTTCAACAGGGATAAAGGTAAAACCATTTTCCCAGCCTAATTCTCAGGAACAGCTGAATCATCTTGGCTGAAATTCAGCTCCCAAAAAGCAACTAATCAATTTATCTCAAGTCGTGCAGAAGCACAGACAATGGTAGGGGATATTTTTGCAGAAGTGGTTAGTTTGGCAAAGCTATACAGAGCTGAAACCAGAATATTACAGAATATTGCAAAAGGGCTGTGCAACCTCATCTACAGGGAGTGATATTTGCCTCCACTTATAAAGTCACATTTCTTGTGAAGTTAAAGGCCCTGGAGGAGGCTGGAAGGAACAGATCCTTTCCTCCAACTTGAGACAATAAACCCTAGCTCAGAGCCAGGACTAGAGCAATGCAGACCTGATTCTGCAGGGACATCAAGTCGATTATTTCTTTGTTCTGTCCCAAGGGAGCCCCGAGCTCCAGACACATACATCCACTCATACTTGGATGCCCGAGGTGGGGTGGTCATTGGCTAACATGCATGATGGCCTCATTCCTAAACACTCATGAGTAGGGGGAAAGCAAGAGGAGGAAGGGACAGCAAGGCATTTCAACAAACCTCCCCTTCCAAGCAAGCATCTCCCCCTGCTCAGCATTCCAGCTTTCAAGCTCCCCATCCCATTCCCTCTTCATTCACTTCGCCCTCACCCATTCGCTCCCACTTTCTCCCCAAGTCCACACCCCAAATGCACATTTCCCCTCAAAGCACTTGTTCTCAGGTCTGCATGCAGGTCAGATGTTTCTCGATGACACTGATGCCAGCAGCACACCAACATGATGCAACAAACCCAATGACGTTCTCTGCCAGCAGCTCTCAACCAGGGCACACACACCAAGGGAAAAGGAGAGAAAGGAGAAGGAAAAAGGGAAGAGAGGGGACTAAAGAACACGTATGCCAACCCCTGAGCTCTGCAGTTTGACTGGATATGCCTACAGTGTCCTTCCTCAGAGATCCTCAGAAATCACTTCAGAACAGTGGGTTGTGTGAAGGATTCTGCAAAATTGACAAGGTTGTGCTACAGATTAAAAGAAGTAACTGTTGGACGGTGAAGGTAAGGAAGTCCTGCATGAAATAGGAGTCACCAGGGAACAGCAGAAAATAACAATGTCCTCTGATGCTAAAGTTCGGGGAAAAAATACTGTCACCTTCTCTAGAGTTGAGAGCACCTTGGAGAAGATGGGGGATACAGTGATCTACAGCTAGACTGCCAAGGCTCCTCAAATGCCCAGACTACACTGGGAATATTGGAACTACTGGCTATCAGCTGGCCTACCATCACAAGGGTAGGCTTTTCCTTCTAGGGACCTGAAGAGGCCATTTGTCCCAGTGAGAAAGGAGTTCAGGCTTATTTTCTAAAGGCCATGACACAGCTTTTTAGTGCCTTATTTCTGGTGCATGGCAGTGACTTAATTTACAGATGTATTGATAAAAGGCTCCCACATGAGAGGCAGCCCAGTTTCTTCCCCTCATCCCACAAGGGCTGAGAGAGCCCCACACTAAAGCCTTCATTAAGTCAGTACTATTTACAGCTTGTTTGATGTGTTGGCTGATCCCCCTAGGAAAATGCCAGTGCTAATTTTGGCTGAGACTTTTCCAGCCCCCTAAGCAGCACCTTCATTCCTGCACTTGTTGCTTTGCACGCATTTAGCCAGTGCAACCAGCATCAAGCAAGCTTGTCACTGGGGTCCTCTGTCTTTCATGGGTCCCCAGGGAGCACACACTGCCCACACAGAGCAAAGTCCTGTCTCCAAACTGACTGCTTGCTCCAGGAAACACAGGGAAAAGCAAGAGTGCAGGGACTGTCCCCACTGACTAAACGTGAGTACCACAGTAAAAACAAGTCAAAAAAACAAGGTCATTGCTCTCTCTTTTCCCTTCCCATGAGCAATTGGGAAGTGATGCCAAATCCAGGAATATAGGGAAGGGGAAGGGGATGTCAACTTTTTTTCACAAATAGAGAGCAAAGAACAGGGTCTAATGCAGTTACTGCAGCTGAAGGGAAAGCCAAAATCCCCCACACTCTTTTAGTGCTGCTGAGCTCCCAGACCTCTCATGGGGCTGCCTCATCTGTTCTGGAAGACCAAAATAACATCTGCAGATGGGGTTCCCGTGTGCTTGTAACAATCCTACATTAGAGGATGAAACCTGCTTTCCAATATGGTAAAAACAGACCAGTCACCTCCTGCCAAGTTCTCAAGTTAAAAAGAAAAGAAGGTTGGCATCTCAACTAAGGCTCAGAGAGGCCTTAAGTAATTGATTTTTTAGCACCAAAGCAGGCTGGAGTATTATTTAAAAAAAAAGAGGGGGCAAGAGAAAGGAGGAAAAAGCACCCACATACCCAAACATACGGTGGCACAAGTGTACATTCTTGCTGCAGATCAAAGAGTGCAGATCCCAGACCCTCCTTTCCCTGCACCAGGGGCTGCACATTTATCTGTGACCCCAGCAGCTGCTCTGACAGCAGAAACCCCCAGCACAGGCCAGGTGAGGCACCTTAACTGCTGGGCCAGTTGGACTTTACCAGGGCAGAGCAGGAGCACATTGTGGCTAGAGTTCATGGAGATGAGATTTACTAGCGTTCCCTTTGCTGTAGGATCCATCCATTCTTACGTGATTTGAAATATTAAACCTCCTGCCTAGTGCAGGTACAACAGTGGTCTGACCAGAGACGGACATCCAGAGTACTCCAGTGAATCCTTCTTTTCCTACAGTAGAAAACCTCAAAATAGTAACACCACAAGACATTCCTTTACTACTTTTCATTTAAGGATACAAAATCAAGATTTGCCCATCAGCTTCCCTGTGAAATTACCATTCCTTACCCTCCAACCTCCCCCTTTACAAAGGATGCATAGCAGAGACAAAGTGAAGCGTTGTGTGACTTGCCCTAGTCAGTGGGAAGCCAGGATCAGAAAAGCAAGGATCCCAATCCACCAGCACTTGCTTTTATTGCTGGTAGGACATCATATTGAAAATTATAATTTAATTTTTTTCTTCCTATAAGGACTCCATGGAAGGAGTACCAACACAAAGACTAAGAAAAAAATTAGAGGAAGTTTCCATGACATCATGCAGCAATTCCCACTTTGCTCCAGAGCACGTTCTTGTCAGAGTCCTTGACCTTGGCTATGGCAACTGTAGGCATTGTAGCAATCCAGTTATTCAATGACATCACTGTCTTGAAAGGCAAGATGCTGACATTACTCTTTATATAAGACAACAGGCTTCCTTTTCCTTCAGTCCTGCACAAAGTTTTTAAATGCATGGAGCAAGACAGTGAGGATCCTCAAGAACAGAGCAAGTAAGGAGCAAAGCTGGAAGTGTCCTTCTCCCACCTCATCATCCTCCCAACTGCAACAGGTAGATAGAACAGGACTTCTGAATGTGAAAGACCTGCCTGATGGTCCTCTCTGGCCAGGCAGGGAATGAGAATGCAGCTTTTCAGACCTGTTCTAAAGGGCAAGCCCCACTAGGTAAAACTCGAAGTTTTAATCACCAAAATTGCCCATACCTCCCATGGAAAACCCAGCACCACACTTTCAGTCACACAAAACCAACTGAACAGACAATGTCTGAGCTTTCACACTACCTTCTTAGACAGGAAAAGAAGCAAGGATTCAAACCAGGCACACAAGCAGTTAATGGGATTATCCAGACACAGAGAAATCTCAGCAGGACCCAGCAGGCCACGAACACATCGTATCATGCAAAGGACCCCTCTCCCATCACAGGGTTAACACGTGCCAGGCTGTTAGAGTCCAGCAACAGCCTCTCCGGTTTTAGGAACTAAATCAAACACAAATTGAAATGCTGCTCTCCGTACCGGTACCTGCTCATCTTTTTCCTCAGCCTGGCGAACAGTTTAGTTTTCTTTCTGTTGAGGATGGCACGCAAATCATTTCCGTTACAGGATGGCACAGTCAAACCAATGAGGATAAATTAAGCTTCCAAGCACCCATTCATTTGGTGCCACAAAGCTTAATGTAATCAAGATGACAAGATATCTCTCTCACACACACAGATACACACACAAAAAATACATGTATACATTTTCCTTGGTTCCTAGAAAGCTATGGCCTGGTTTGAAGAGGGTAGGAGAGGGCTTTTTGTGCCTGTCAAAGATCTGCATACATGTGAGCAAACTAGTTTTCCCTGCACATTGCAATATGGGGCCAGGGTGCACATGGAGAAGAAAAAGGAAGTTGTATAGACCAGCAGAGAACTGTAAATATCCTTTTTTTCCACAGGTAATTACAGCTCCTCACTCTCCCCTGTAAATATTGGTACACACGAAACAAGCTCCCCATTCTCCTTTACTAATGCAATCTGTGAGCAGTCTTATAGGTGGAAGCTAATCAGCAGCTTTCCTACTATGTCTTATTCTGGTTAGTCCAATCATACTAGGATAATGCTACAGATCTCCTAGGTCTTGTAGGCATCTGAGCCCTGAATGTTCAAACTCTTTCAGAAACAAATCCCAAACACGTCTGAGGTTCCCAGAAATACATCAGCTGCTCTGTGCTACTGTGCTACACAGCCAGCATCAGATTCATCAGCCACAGTAATATTTCTGTAGGGGCTCGCATGAATACCACAATGATGTGCACAGATAATTGCCTCTCTTCTCACACCTCCTCATTCATTTCCTGCCATTGTATCCATATCCAATCCCCTTCCCAGTAGAGAAAGCTTAGGGAAGCATCTGCTCCTGCTGCAGACCACAATGAGCAATCACATCAGTAAGGGCTATTTCCTTGTGAGCACTCTCGCTCCAGCCCTGCACCACAATGAGAGGCCAGATGTGCAGGAGAGACAGAAGTGCCTCACAGCATTTCCTGGTCACTGCAAAACATATTTACTATCCTGCCAAACCTTTGCTACATCCTTCTACAACACCCTGTCCACTGTGCTCAGGAGGAAGAGCATTGCTCTGGGGTAGGTCTGGCATCTCAGCCGAGATGCAGGGAGTAAGTGATGAAGCAGCAGCACTCAGACTGCAACCCTCACAGAGACCTCTGTGTGCGCACTCATTTTCGGTTTTGTAGTCTTGTAGCCAGCCAAAGAGCACAGAACTGCAGCCGAGAGACCCATTACAGCCCCAGACGAGGCCAGCAGTTTGTGGGGGCAGGAATCTTGAGTACAGATAATTTATTCATTGGAAGCTCTTTCAGGGCAGAAAATTCATGCCACAACAACAATGAACATGTCTGGGCCAGGCTGTCACTACGGCTCGCAATCACTTCCTTGAGGAAGAAAGTAAGGAGGAGGAAGGAGCTGGACAAAGTAATGGCTACAGCCTTCATCCGTCCTGTTGCCTCATCCTCTTCCAAGGACCCTGGAGGATGCTGCTATCAGGCAACATGGCATATGGCAGCAAGAGGATGGGCACCACGGCCTTCTCACAAGGCTTCAGTCTTGTTGGGTTGTGATGATCAACAGACACCACATGCTAACTTGGGAAGAAGATATTATTTTCAGAAGAAGCATTCCTACTAGCATCTTGGAAGTTTTGTGTTAGCAATCCAAAATTCAGGGGCCAAATTCAACTCAAATGTCCTCTTTTTTAGTGCTGACAAACGCCACATACATTGCTGGAGCAGGACACGCAAGTCATCTATGCACAACTGCAATAGGAGGTTAAACTGGGAGGAGAGACAAGGGAGCACAGAGGTCTCAATATCTGATCTAGATCTTCCGAATGAATGCACTCAGAGCACAGCTTGCCTTTACTTCACGCTGACTTCACCTCCTCCCTCCATCAATACACCAATTGAGGACTTGGGCTGTGCTCCTGCTCACCCGGCACGTGGGATTAGCAGCAGCTGGAAGCCAGAGCCTGACACTGTTTCATCACTCACACATTTGGATGGGAGCCAGACAAGCCTCATCCAGAGCCTGACCTCTCCCTCCCCTCTCAGTGCTAGAGAATGTGCAGACTTGCACTTAACCATACAGGACTGGACCCAGCTGAGGAAAGAAAACTAAAGGCCTGGGGGACACTCACTCCTTGCATACGTGCAGATTGGAAGTGCTCTGAGATCAGGAGGTCTCATATTAGCGCGGCTGCAACTACTTCCACAACACACACAGAGGAAATGCACCTCAGCTAGGTACACAGGAGGGGCATAAGGCTTTGGAAAATGGATGGTTCCAAGTTTGGAGGGTGAAAGAGGAGGCTGGGGAAACAAGTGGGCTCTTGGTGCTCAAGCTCACAAGCTGCAGGTACATGGTGGAAGCTTTTGAGGGAAAGAACAGGACAGGTGCTGGCAAGTGGACCCAGAAGGAAGGGCAGCTCAGTATTACATGTCAGTGCATGGAATCTGACTTTAAAAAAGCAGACCTGAGAGTCAGTTGCCTGAATATCGGCACCCAATGAAAGTTTAGGCCGCCAGATGCTATTCTAGAAAGGTAAGATGTATTGCATTGTGTCCCCCAGCCCCAAGTGCAATCTTGGACACGCTCTAGCCAGCTCTGGCTGCTATATGCAGGTAGTCAAATCACTCCCCAGCTGACAACATGGAGGTTTCAATACCCCTAGTAGAGACATCCCTGTCCCCCCTCCCCTGCTGAGGGAAAGACACTACTCCCACAGTTACTGACCTGGGCTGTGCTTTAACGGGGAAGGCATTGCCTGAGTACTGCTTGTCTAGACCCAGCAGGACATCATGGAGGTTTTGGTTCAACTGCAAAATACAAAAACAAAAGAAAGAAAGAGAATGAGAAAAGAGCCCAAGTGCCAGAAGAGAGTCTGGGCTGGCCTGCCCAGGCTGACCAAACACAGGGTTGTGCCTGGACACGTGCACATACTCAGGTGTCCCAGGAGAGGACAGCCCTACATCTGTTTCCACTCCTCTGTGGGGTATGAAATGCTAGAGCACTCAAACGGCTGAGGACCTGCTAGCACCTCATGGGAATGCTGTCTCCCTTACACATCAGACCTGCTTATAAAGCTTGGGACATGGCCATTTCAACTGTAGAGCCAAAGGCAGCTGGACTTCCAGTCAACAACAGGCCTTGACTTCACAGGCCACCTGGGCCATCTAGGTTTGAGCGGAACCTGGATATCTTTGCAGAAATGCTATATTAGGGGTTAAACTCTCCCTGGCACCAAAGGCTGGAATATTCACTCCAGACACTCCTATTCTGAAACAGCCAATTCATAAACAAGATGAGATGCCAGATTTATCACTGGTAGGAGGAGAGATCCAATGCAATCAACATTGGAGGCATCGTGACGGCAACACCAGCAGTTAATTGGATGTTATAGCAGTAATAAGAAACAGATGGTTCTTATGGAACAAAGCAAAAGCCCTGCTCTCATGCAAAACTCCTCAGGAAAGAAAAATCCAAGACACGATACAAGAAGAGAATTCCTGTCTAACAAGCATCTTTCCCATGTTTCACTGAATGTGATTTAACAGCAACAAACTGATAATTATAACAATCCTCCCTACTCTTAACAATCAGTTCATCCCTCAGTGGAGAAGAGCAGGCTATTAATTGGAAATGTCCCTATGAAACGTCAGCAGGGCTCCAAATGGATGCATTACACCAAGGCAGAGGGCCCCCGACTGCTGGGAATTGAAGGACTATAATGTTGCTTGTTGCTTAGCGGCTGTCTTGTTGTCAGGATGACATTGGGGTGGGAATACAAGAGTTTTCCAGCTAGGCTCTCAGTCACTCATCAAGATTAGTGCAACGTTTACAGAGGGCGTGCAACTCTTAGGAGCAGCGTACAGACCTAAGGAATTCAAGACTTCTTTAGCTTTCAAGTGAAAGAACAAGAACATATCTGTAAATGAAAGTGGCAGTGGGGGGCTTTCCCACAGACTGTTCCTGAGGTCTCTGATGGGTGCTGGCACACAGCACCAGGACCCAGCTTGCCACCGCCAGGTTACAACACTGCTCACTGCTGTGATTCCCAACTCATGGCCAACTGGTAGCCCATGCCAGGGCCATGCTAAGCACTCAAATGCCTTCTTTTGGGTCACAGGACAGGAAAGAAGCCAAAGCAGAGAGGTACTGCTGGGAAGTACCTTCTTGAGGGACCAGACTGAGGCGGGTCTCAGTCTTCAGCCAACCTGCAGATTCCCTCCTGTTTTCATCCCCACAGTTAGAGAGACGAGGGTTCACAGCAGCTCGCTGCCAGGCAGCAGAGGAGAAGGCAAATAGATACCAGGCTGAGTGAGAGTGTCCAGGTTATAGGTTACAGATCCATAATGTAGACGAACTGAAAAAGGCAGCAAGAAAGAGGCCTGAAAGCAGCTTCTCTTCCCTCTGCAGACCTGCAAATGAGACCTGCTAAGTGACTTGAACTCCCCCCACTGCATGGCCCTGTGGTCTCTTCCCTGTGCTCCATCCCTTTACACGACTATCTCAGACAGCCTTTCTCCCAGATGGGTCAGAAAAAACTAAGGGTTAACGTTCTCCTCTGACATAGGGCAAATGCTCTGGTTTCTACAGCCCTTTTTTTCAGTTCTTTTCTTTTTTTGATAACAGTGAGAAGAGGGTGTATTAGTAGGATAAGCTGTTAGTTACCTTACCTTGCTCATTTCTTTATGGAAGTTCTCTTCTAGGCCTGCTATACTCTGGAATGTGTTGACGTAGAAACCAACACGACTGCCAAATGAAAAATGAGACAGAAGAACTTAACGGACACAATGCTCTCCCAAAAACTTTCAATTCTGCCCCTTTTGCTACCTCCCACCCACCACTCCCATTCAAACTCAATTCTGTCAGATCTGGTACAAGCTGGAAGAGAAGGGCGGCAAAGAAGCGTGAAGGGGGTGATGGAGCAAAGGCCAGGTATGGGGCAAACATGCCTAAGGTGATGAGGAGGCCAGGTGGGATAGGATCTGAATTTGTGCTGGCTAAAGGGAGAGGCAGATACAGGGCTGGGGGTAAGAAGCGGGGGGGGGGGGGGATGGTGGGGTGATAGAATAGAGGCTCTGACACAGATGGAGTGTGGGCAGAGCTGGGGGAATTGGCAGGACAACAGTTATTAATTCACTCTGAAGTCCCTCAGCACCAGGGGAAGCAAAAAAGCATGAACTGTTTGCTTCAGGGGCAGAAGAGTAAGAGAGCACAGGCTAGGCAGAGAGAGCAACAGGAAAGCAGAAGGATCAGCTGGATAGCAGGAGCCTGTGAACAACCTGTGGCACCTTAAAATCCCAGCAGCTGCCTGCTGCCCTCCCTCCTCTAGCCAGCCTGCCAGCTGCCAACCGAGAGTGCTGTACCAGCACGCAGCTGGAGGAGCAACAGCAGGAGGTAGATGCTGTCTAAGGGCAGCGGCATCACCGTTCTGCACGTGGAACCACCACAATGCCTGTATTCCTCCCAGCTCCTTCCTCAGTCAGGCTTGCACGCTGCTTTGAGCAAAAAGTCCCAACACAGGCTGAGAGGAAAGGGGAGTTAAGGCAGACAGCAGCACTTTGCTTTCCCACCCTGTTGCCACCCAGACACAATCACTGCATTTAAAAATAAGAAACTGGGCCATTCCTAGGAGGATTTTGCCTGCTTTCCACTGTGCTCTCCCCATACATCAGCTTCTGCTGCCCTCCACTTCATCCTGCAAGCTAATGTCGATCTGTCTCTTTCTCCTCCCTTTTCATCACCATACTCACTGGTATAGCAAATCCACAGTCTCTCAAGTCTTCCTCTATTCTCTCAGCCTATTTTCCTCTGCCCAGAATATGTTTTGTTAAATAGAGCACAACAGGACAGTTATAACCACTAGTTCCTCACTGGGTCCTGTGTCACATAGCCAGGAGCACATTTAGAGGCAAGGGAGGGCAGCCATACCAGGATCCCTTCCTCATCTTTGTTCACCCAAAGCAGAGCAACCTGCCCTCTCATCTTCCTTCTTGTGTTAAACCTGCTGCTTCACCGGGTGCTCATAAGCTTGCATGACAAGACACAGTGATCAAGACATCACCTCTGGGCTCTCCCCAACCCTGGTGACTGTATAAACCCCCTCTGAGATCTCATCTTCCCTTCATCAGTCAGCTGACATACCCACTCAGCTGCAGATGTTCCTTCCAGCCAGCCAGCTCCAAAATCTTAGTGACCCAGCCTGCTCTGTCTGCTGTCCACAGCAGAAGTTGGGCCATTGCCCAGGAAAGTTGGGCAGAGTTGGTGGGGCAAAGGGATTAATCAGACAAAGCATAGAGACACAGTTTCTCTTTGTGGTAAAATTGAGTTTTTCATGAGGGTCATGAAGCAAAGCATAAAAAGCCCAGGGTGAACCTGTCTGGAGGGAATCCTTGGAAAGACTGTCTGAGATAATCCAGAAAAAAGAGCAAGTCCAAGCCAAGGAGAACAGTGATACAAGAGCTTGGGTCTTCACTTCTTTCCAACCAGCCCCTGGGAAAACTTCCAGCACTCACCTATTCCATAGTGAGGGCAGCTCCTCTTGCAGATCAACATTCATTTCTTCAAACACTTTCTGAGCCTTTACTAACTCTTCTTCAGCCTTAATAACAGAGAAGGGAGATTGTCAGCTCCAGCACAGACAAGTACCCTGCAGGGCTGGGACAACTGTGACTCTTTGTGACTTCTTTGGGATACCAGGCAAAATTCTGGCATGGGGGTTATCACCATCCCAAATGAGTCTTCCAGGAACCCGAGTTGCATTGCACATGACCTGATACCCCTTCAGTTTACATGTGTTACTCTCAGGTTTTCTCTCAAGGGATTTCCCTGTTTGGATACTCAGAAAGTAGTTCAAACACCCACTAATGTGTTTTAAGTTCTTTAAGTTTCCCTGGCTTCAAAAACTGAATAGAGCTGGTCAGGCAGTTCAGCCTCCAGCTCAGATATAGATGAAGATAATAATGGTCCCTGCCCCTTGCCAGGTCTCTGAAAGTTGAAATCCATCCCAAACGGCATTGAAGAAGAGTCCTCTCTCATGGGGACTCTCTCTGCTAGGGTAAGGTCATGCCAAAGCCCCATCTCTTCTGAGGAAGAGAGGAGGTCTGCATCCTTGGCTGATACAGCTCTCACAAAGTTGACTGGAGAAGCAAGGAAGGGTATGCAAAGCATGAGTTGTGCCAGCAGGAGGGCAAGCTGGAGTGCGTGAGCAGCAGGTCTTGGTTTCAGCGGTCTCACACACTCTTATCATTGAGGATCTAATACAAGAGCAAGCCCTGGCTGGCTGTTGGACATCAACACAAAAGGAAATAGGCCTTGTACAGGACCTCCTTCTCCCAGCTGAGAGTTTAAATTTCATCTGTTCATTTGACCTAGACACTGACAGACCCCAACACTGATATGTGAATTCTGCCAGGTTCCCGTGACAAAAAGGATGATCCTGGTTTCTGTTGCTGACAGATGACACCAGCAACAAGCACATTCCCCTTCCTGTATTAGCCTAGGTGACCTCTTCCTCTCTTCAGTACCCCGACTTAAAACTCAAAGCTTGCTAATTAAAATGTTTCTATCTGGTAATTTGCAACAGCACCACATTCTCCCATAACCCTGTGCAGTGGGACGCAGGATGGCAAATCCCTGCACGAGCAACTTTACGACGCATCTTAACAGAAAGGTCAGCACGAGTGCCTACTTATGCGTGACAACTGCAGGAATGTCACAGCGCTGCAGGGCTCTGCAAAGAGCCCAAAGGCACTGGGGAACTGGATCTCTCTATGAGCTTGCAGTCAGATTCCTACCTCTTCTACAAAATGAAGTTTTATCTTCCTTGTGCCAGCTTAATTAAAGAAATCCAGCTTACTGCCCCTTAGTGACAGCTACGTGCAAAGATAGGATTGACGGGACAAAGGACTTAAAAATATTTTGCAGTTCATGGTCCTGGTCCTCACAGTATTGTGTAAGATCCTTACACTGTAAATTTCTCTCCTGACTTAGGAGCAAGCCACAGTACCTCCTACTTTCCAGCTAGCTCCACCTTTCAGAGGGTTGCTCATTGCTGCCAAAGGCAAGGCTAAGACTTTGTACTCAAGATCAGAAGAGAAAGTTTCCGCCAGAAAAAGACACAACTGGGACGTATTCAAAAGTTAAGCAGACCTTGTGAGGAATAGGCAGTGGGAGAAGGGGCCATGATACTTCCACCCAGAAACCCCTGTATTTCACTGCTACACTCACTGAAAACCCCAACATTTCGAGAGAGTTTGCACAAAACAAACAAAAAACCCATTTAAACAGAGACACAGTTTATGCTGGATCAGAGACAATGATCACAAAGACTCATTCTGCCTTAAAATTCCTCTATGAATGAATGTTTCTAATGGAACCATTTTAAAGGGAGGGAAAAAAATGCCAGTCCATCCTTTGGCTTTATCTTACTCTAATTTCCAAACTAGACTGGTACCAGAATCAACTCAGGAGATGTGATAGCTGGGAGATGAGGCACCATTGAATGCTGTTAGCTTTTCAGATACGTTGAATATAATAATAGTCTTTCCCTCTCTCGTTTACCTGTTCAGAAGGTCAAAGAACCTAGGAAAGCAATGTGTGAATATTGTGACATCCCGAGGCAAAGGCAAAATCAGCAACAGGCAACGTTCACTCTAGAGTAGCTGTAGGAATCGGGGATCCATCTAGTGCCTCAGTCCCAGGTACAGCACTGAATGAATTCTTTGCTCCTTTGTCAGCCCAGGGATCTTCTCACCAGTGGGATTTATTTTGCTTTCAAGCAGGGGTCCTGACAGCAGATAGCCCAGACTGCTTCCAGACGGAGCCAAAGACAGACATCAACTTGATCATGAGCCCTGCTAGAAGAAAAGCCAGCTCACCCAGTACAGTGGGGAAAGCAGGAAAGACATTGCTGTCAGGGGCAGAGCCCACTGCTACCATAGCTGCACACTTCCTATTTCAGCTGCCGTCCTTGCCAACCTGATGGAGAACTGAGGCGGAAAGACGCAATGCCCAGGTCCAGGAAATGTGACCTCGGAAAATTCTTCCTATCCTCTCCCTGCCTGAAAGGGGGAAGGTTTGAGCAGGAGCTGGACAACGCACACGCTTTCCTGACCCTCCCCCTAGCCAAGGCTCAGAGTGCCAAGCACAGCCAGTTCAGTTGTGACAGGGGGGACAGCCACTCCCCATCACGTTCCTCCATGATGCATCTCAGCACTCATGAGTGACTGGCAATATCCAGCCTAGTGCTTTCAGGCAATCTGGTCACCATTTCTCTTCAAAAACTGTGCTGTGAACTATGGTAATTACGCACTGCTCAGTAAATAGTTTAGACATCCATGAGGCAGGGGTAAGGAGGACAGCTGGGCACCCTACCAGTCCCGCCTTTCAGAAGGGCAGCACAGCCCAGGACTCCGGCGTGCTGGCTCTCCTTACAGACAGAGATATCATTCTGTTATCGCTGCAGCACTGAGGATGTTGCTTTTTAGTCTGTATTCAGCATTTTAAGGGAGCTTAGCAAAAAGGCAAAAATTTGCTGTTCTAAGCCATTTTCCCTTTTGTTTCAAAAACTGCAGTCACCAAAATTTGTAACCGAGAGCTGCAATAGCAAACCCCCCAGGAGACTTTACAGAAACCCACCACTGTGTTGTTTTTGTTAGTATCTGCTGAAGGCCTAAAAAGCCAGCAGTTTGCATGCTGAAGGGAGGGCTTGGGTTTACAGTAGAAATAATAGGTCCTGCTGACCTCATTTTTGCTCGGAGGTTGTAAAATTATCAGAGAAGAAGAGACAGCAACCCAGCTGCTGGTAAGGGGAAGGACTTTTTTTTTTTTTTTGAGGTTTAACATTCTGAAGCTCTTCAATAAATGCAGTGTTATCAGCCTTTCTGCTTTTATCAAGAGCTTAATAAGATTTAGGATTGTCAGTAATGCCTTCAGTCTTGAAGTCATGCAAATATAAAAACTGAAGCCTTTTTTTTTTTTGCTGCCTGCTCGTGTTTGTGAAAAGCTGAAAAACCCACAAGTTCAGAATACAAACTAATCTTCTTCATTAAGATTTTTTTCTGTTAGTCCCCAATCAAAATATAAATAAATAAATAAACCAAAACTCAAAGATTCACACAAGTAGAAACAAAAAATTAAGGTTAGCAATGGTATTATTTAGCTCAAGAGTGAAAGAGGAAAAACTTAAAGGAGGACTTAACTTGATTTGAAAATATCTGGGGTGACTGAAAATATTAATGTCACTTAGCAGGAGGTTAACACCCCCACAACACAGCGAGTGGAAAGATTACGTACCCCCTGGTCACCTGCTTTAGGGCAAAGCCACCCAATACAGTGAATTTATTGATAAGCTCTCAGTAGCCCGTCTAAGATCAGAGTGCAATGGATGAGGGAGCACGCGTACGTACTGTTTCTCTAGGCAATCTGTGGGCAGTAGTATTACTCCCAGTCACCCCAGCCAGCCTGAGAAGGAAAAATGCCCAAGAGCTGATTTATTTATTTATTTGTGGCTTCAGAAACTTCCCGTACCTGCTTTCTAGTCCTCCAGAAATACCGCCAGCCAAACAGAACAGTCAAGAACCACAACCACGCAGATCGTTCCCAGCGTGGTAGAGGCACAGGAAAAGCCCCGGCAGGCTGCCAAATGTCCCTCTCCCTTCAATCAAGAATGAATACGTATTTCCTCCCTTTGCTATGCATCTTAAGCAGGACTGCTAACAGCTGTTCTTTCCCCAGGCTTTATTGATGTGGTAATCTAGTCTTTTCCCTGATCTGCAGCCATAAACTGTGAAAAACCCATGTGCTTTACAAGGTGAGAGCGATTTAATGTTTCTAAGCTGCAATTCATTCACTGACAAGGAATGTGAAAATGTAGGAGCATTTGAATGAGAACAGATGAGCTCACCAGGAACTGATGAGCAGGTAACTGGCGCCCTCCCAGTATGGGTAATGACTTACTATCCCTTGTCCATTGAAAGCATTTTCTTCTCACTGTCTTCTGTCAGCTGCCTCTTATCCCTTAAGGAGCTCCAAGGTAAATACCAAGGGAGATTTCATCAGGAAGCCACACTTCTCCTATGCAAGTAGGATTGAAATCCTTAGTCCCTGCAGTTTCTCTGAGCTGCTCTCATGTTCCTCAAGATGCTATAACCTCAATGTTCAGCCAAGTTCTGCCACATGACGTAACCATGACCTCAACCTGGAACTGTTCAAATATATTACATGGGGTGCAAATTCCTTGGTCTGGGCCCACCTCTTCTCCTACCCAGAGTGAACCTCTGTACACCCAGAAACAGTTCATTTAGACCACAACAGCCAGGACAGTGCCCATTTTGGAAACCTGGATTTTACCATGGGATCATGTTGCAACTTAACTTGGCAGTCATAGAAATTGCTTTTGAAGCAATGAGGTTTTTTTCTGGCTTTACTCAACAGTAGAAATGCAGAAGCCAATTTTTCCAATGTTTTCCTCTTTTTTTTCTTTTTTTTTTTTCTGAACCAGCAACAATAAAAATTGACTCCTTCTCTTAGAAGAAAAAGAAAGGAATAATTGGAGGAACTACATTACATCACCTGCCTTGGCATTATTCTATAGCCTTTCTTCATCCTCATTTCATTTTAGGGGGAGAAAACAATAGTCCAGTATTAGCACACCTGATTAGAAATCAATAGGCCAGACACAAATTCATTCATTGGTCAGCAACTTCCACGTGCCCACTGTGGCTTGGGAATACCAAGGACACACTTAACGGAGGGGACTAGAGTGAACGTTGCCTAGAGATTAGTTGCATGGTACAATCTAGAGCCCAAAATAGCGCATGCAGGGTTAGAGCCAGGTAGATCAGCAGTCACCTGATTTCGGAGCAGATTAGTTTGCGCAACGAGGTGAGCTTGTAGCTTCCCTTGACACCACTGAGGCGCGGCTTTCTCAAGCAGCGAAACAGGCTGGGGGGAGGGAGCATGTTTGAGTGAAAAGAGAAAAAAAATAAACAGAGAACAAGAGAGACACAAACATATATTTCTTAGGATAAAAAAAATTAAAATCACAACAAAGAGTGTATTTAGAGGCTGGGCCAAACCAGTATCACTAAGGCGAGAGAAAAAACAAACATCCCGGACCGATCAGTTACAAATCCTTTGAAGCATGCCAAGTTTAGCAGTAATTAATGCTCCAGTGTGGGCTGGGATACTGCAGACCAGCCAGGCAGCTGTAAAGAGCAACAGATATTGTTGTTAGTGGCCTAGCACACAGACAACCTTACTCCAAAGTCATGGCTGTGAAGTGAGAGCTCCTTAAAGAGAGGTCAGGATTAATTAACAACTGTCATTATTTGCATGCAACAGCTGAAAGTCCACAGTGCTTTATTTTAATGGCAGGTTGTGAGTTTAGCAATAAGTGGCAGGAGTCCTGAGCGGGAAAAGAACATCCATACATTAGAGAAGAAAAAAAGAGACCATACAGCTCCAAAAAAGTATTTGCATTGCTGTTTGTATTACCATACCATGAAACATAAATCAAATCAGTTTCCATTTGTATGCTGTGTCATAAACAAGATTTCTCTTTACTAGGGGCCTATCATCATATTCCAAAACACCGTACACTGGAACAACCCTACTTCAACGGTCACACGAGCAAAATCGCAGTCAGAGGAACAGAGAGGTGAACTTCCTATGACAGCCTAGCGCACGCTGAGCCCCGGCTGGTGCCCACAGCCCTGCAGAGCTGCGAGACTGCCAGCGTGGGGTCGCAGGCTGGGCTCTGAAACCTGCCTGTTCGGGAAGAACACCCAGACATAACTTTCGGGGACTTACTGATCCCATCTTTATAGGATCAAGACAGTGTCACATATTATCCCATGGATGAGCTTATGGCCTAAAGCAGAGGGTGGAAAGATTTGATCTACTGCACATTTTGGCTAACAAGAAGAGTACAAAACAAGTACTAAGAGACGGTTGCACAGGCTGAATCAGGAACAGAGCACCAACTCCTAAATCTCAACATTTCAATCAAACTGCACCGTTCTTCATCATTTAACAAAAGAGCAACAAACAATCCCTTGTCTTACATGAGCATTTGGGGCAACATGAGCGAGTGCAGCAATGACAAAGGCGGCCAGCCTCTTTTGTGCAGATCACCAGGTACCAACCTGAGTAGATGAATTCCTACAAAAACATTTCCACTGCAGCAAAGATCCCACAGGCATGCACCAATGCTAATACCACGCCCCAGGGAAATTCTGCTCTTACCCGCAAACACAGTGAAGTACTGCTTTGAATAGAAGGCACAACCAGCTGGGCCTCATGCCTTGCATACAGAACCAAGACTTGCTTTGCCACACAAATGATGCAATGACACCTGAGCCATCAATCTCTCTCCCATTTGTCTGTCAAGGTTAATCACAGTGCATGCACTGGGTGAGCACATGACCGATGACTTGCAGCTTAAAAATAAAACTACTGTCAGTTGGCCATTAAATGCAGATCTTTTGCTTGGGCGAGAGATGCATCTTTATTTCTTCTATACAGAAGAAACACTAGCATCTCTTACATAAACCATATTTCCCCCTACCAGAAATAACTCTAAGCAAAGGATGACAACTCTTCTCAGCCTGGTTAAAAGATACAGATCCAGGCTCTTTGTTTTCTGCAATGCTCCTAGCCTGAAGAGTCCTGATGTGCCATGGCCCCCATTCAAGAGAATTAAAGATGTCTCCCCAGCCCTGGACTATTCTGTTGTGTCCAGATCTGTCCTGTGGAGTGGCGCACATGGGTTCAAATTCACTCGGGGTACAGGAGTAATCCACAGCTTATTTTCTCGGCAGGTAATTGAACCACATGCCTCCTCTAGAACAAGGTTAGCACTATCACGTTTCTTCAGCTACCTTTAAAATAAAAATCTAAATTTTGTCTTTAATGACATTTATTTTAATTAAAAAAAAAAAAATCCTGCACTTGCATGTTGGGCATACTCTGGGGTTAACCCTAGATCAAGCTATTCACAAGTATGAATGGAACCACACTCTGACAAGAGAAAAGTCTTGTTTTGCTGCTTTCAGTCATATTTATTGTGCAGTAATTGTGACCAACAGACAACAGAACACAGTCATCAAGTGTGCATAGGGTGCATTTCCACCAATGAACTTGTAATTCACACTCTTAAGGGTGTCTGTCTTAGAATATCAGAAGACTTCACAATGCCAACCTCAAGTAACACCCACTCTCACCCCTGCTATACGATGGGGAGACAGAGCCCCAAGAAGCAGATAAACTGGCAAATTTTGATGGGGCACTACAAGGCTTTGCTTCTCCCAGAGGCACACAGGCTTTCCTGACAGAGGTTACTGGTCCTGCAACATCTGAGGAAATGCACACCTAGGCCTTGGCCACCAAGAGATGCTCACTGATGATGGTGTGTCTGAACCAACACAACAGAGACCACCTTGCTTCCTAGAACTAAACATATGAGACTGAAATACTGAGCCAAACTTCACCAGTTCACTACACCTCTCTGAACAAAACACATCCAATGAAGAGGTAGAGGTGCACTTAAAAACTGCTCAGTAACCAACTGCAGACCTCATGGAATGAAAGGATGGCTGCACATCCTTCTGCTTGCTTTACCTTTGCGATTTTGGTTTCGTCCTTCTTCTTTGCAGTTTGCAGGGCTTCAAAATGGTGTCTGGCACTGTCGTAATCCACAAGCTTCCTTCCTCGCTTCGCTATACGAGACTAAGAAAGATGGAGAAAAGAGTTGTGACAAGCTTCCCCAGCAGCCAAAACCCCAAAGCCTCTCAAGGAAAACGCCCCTCCTCTTCACCCAACTTCCAGAGCACCCCATGCTCTGCCCACACATGGACGCTCACTGGATACTCCACACAGGCTGCCCAGAGAGGTGAGCCACCAGTGACAACCACCATTCTAGAGGGAGCTCCTCAGGAGTGCAGACCCAGCCAGGCAAAGGGCTGTGCCTTGCATCCTATGGGCACCTTGCTTCATCATCTTCAGGGCCCCCTGAAGGCTGCAGCCAGTCTCTAACTAACCAGCTCACAAGCCTAGATCGTGTGGAAGCTCAAAAGATTAAGTTCAACAAAAGAAGGCATTTATGTTGCCAGCACAGCAAAAGCACTCGTCTGCGTGCGGAGGATACGCCTAGGACAGCACTTGGGACCCTGCAACAGGAGGTCCAGACAGAAGTGACAGCAGCCACAGGCAGTGGTCCATTGCAACCAGCTATTAAGCAAGAAAAGTGTGAGGGAAAACCCGTAGCACTGTGTCACTAATAGGCAAGGCATACTGAAGCCATAGCAAACTCGAGGAGGGACTCAACTGTGTACCAGACCGTGTTCAGGGATGGAATACTGACAGGTCCATGGGTGAGAATCCAGAACAGACAGTCAGGCCTGTGGCCTGATCCTCCATTACCCCTCTTCACCTGAGGTGCCTCAGGCCCTCTCCCCCCAGCACAGATTCACCTTGGCGAGGCTCGGGCCCATTGGATTAAGCACCATCCATCCCCTTTAGACCCTAACCCCCGCACTCTCTACAAACACCCCAGACTATGTGGGTCAGAGCACAGGTCTTCCCAGCCTGATCCTAGCACCACCCCAGCTTGGAGAGTCAGGTCCAGTGTCAGCAATCAGCAGTCTAGAGACAGGCTGTGGAACTGGAGTGAAAAGGCATGGCAAGGAGCCAGAAAGGTTTCTAATTAACCACAGCATCCAGGGAAATTGAAAGTGCAAGATGAAGAATCAGCATTGGGATTTACTTGCAAAAGCAAAATCCCCCCGCTCCCCGCTGCACTTGGCAGGGGCATGCGGTCTCCTCTCCCATGGCTCCTGCAGATAAGCTGCAAAACCATACTCAGGGCTGATCTTTCTGCCAGACCAGCTGGGACCAGTTCGCACGTCTCCTACACGCACTTCTCTGCACTTTCAGCAAATGATGCAGTCACCGTTCTACGTGAGTCACGGCAGATCTGCAGGATCTCAGCCACGCGCAAACCCAAACTGATTTCAAAGCACTCAGATCACTCCAAGAGAGGAATTACAAAGAAGCTGAGCCACCTCACAGTCGAGGTCACTAGAAGACACCTCCCTGACATCATGCTGCCAGCTGGGCACGGAGACAGGATGTCAGAAGGGGCTTCCAGCAATATGACGACCTCTGAGATGCTAGTTAATGCATCTTCCACGCAGACCAGATAAATCCATAATCTGGCCATGTGTTTTAAGAGAGAGGATTTTTCCCCTGGGTCAGACTGGTAGAGATAGAGGGAGTTTTGCCCACCTCTGTGACATAGCAAACAATCACTTCTAGGTTTCCGTGTCACCCCACCAGAGAGTTTGATTCAGTGTCACCCATCTCTCACAACAAGGTCATTCCTGCCCTTTTTTGCAGCCCCAGTCTTCTGACCCCCCACTACAGCACGTGGAAATGCTGTGAGCTATGGATACACCACGAGTCATCCTGGAGTAACCACCGATCACACGATTGCCTGTGATGGCAGGAATGGGATTTGGGCCAGTCCTAGAAGGCTGCAGGGTAGCTTCCTTGTAGGACTCTAGGAAAGCTGCAGCTACCCACCTCTATCTGATGATAAAAGCTGAACTCCAACAGAGTTTACTGCTTTGCAATAAATCCATCCTAATTTTAGTCTCCTTTAAATAAATAAATAACCACCACAAAACACTTTCCCTTCCCCTCCTTACCAATATTTGGTTTTAAACCTAGTAGAAACAGGGCACCAGTTTCAGTGCAAGACAGAAAGTCACCAATTCCACAGCTATTCAGAACTTGGGTTATGGTTTATCTTCTCTAGGATCACTGCAGAGACCTGTACTTTTATTGTGTATTCTGCAACCTCAAGTAATCACTCACTCCATAATATTATAGATTATGCAAGAGTCCTACTCCAAGAAGCTATAGAAACTGACCTGCAAAGAAAGGATACAGTACTTTTTTGCATTCCTTTTTTTCAATTAGAAAAAACAGAGAGTCTTTGTTCACATCCCCCCCATCCAACATTTAAAAATTATTCTCTTTAACTTACAAAAATTCCTTACTAAAGGAATGCTATGTTTTCACATTCCT